CCCACAGAAGTCAACTTCCTTCCTCTATATGAAGAAAGACTCTAACCAAGTTAGTAAGGCTCTTTCCTAGCTGTCTCGGAGCCTCCTTTGGACAGGGCCCTGACAGCCCTGAGGCTGCTTTGTGTGGTGCTGTAGACAGAGGAGCAGCAGCATGGAGTCTGGAGGATGCCCTAGGCCTGAAATCCAACAACTCAGCTTCTCCACCAGCCCGAGCTGCTTACACAGCATGTGACTTTAACCAAGTCAATTCCTCTCTCTCTGAGGCTCAGTTTTCACGAAAGTAAATAGGAATGACTGCCCAAGACAGACCAGCGAGTGGTGTTCTTTTTTTTTTTTTTTTGGTTTTTCGAGACAGGGTTTCTCTGTGGCTTTGGAGACTGTCCTGGAACTCACTCTGGAGACCAGGCTGCTCTCGAACTCACAGAGATCCGCTTGCCTCTGCCTCCCGAGTGCTGGGATTAAAGGCGTGCACCACCAACGCCCGGCCGTGAGTGGTGTTCTGAGAATCGAGGCTGTCAGTGCGTGTGCTCCACCCACCACAGCAGCTGAGAGGACTGCAGCAAGGGGCAGAAGTCTAGTCTGCGGTCCACCTCTCTATAAGACCATCTCCCATTGGCTGCCCAAGGAGCGGCTAAGGATGGTCCCCTGTTTGTGGGAAAGTCTTTTATTTTCACCAAGTCTTGAAGCAGGGGCAGAAGATGCAGCCTCCAATCCAGATACTGCTAGGTCAGCTGTGATACCTTTCTGTAACAAATCTTTCAGTGCCGCCAGCCAGCTCCCAAATAATGACATGGAGATTTCTTACTAGTTATGAAAGCTGTGCCTATAACTTAGGCTTGTTCCTAACTAGCACTTATAACCTAAATTAACCATCTATACTAATCTATGTTCTATCGTGTGGCGTCACCTCTCTTTCGTCTCGTACTTCCTGTTTCCTCTCCGTGTCTCCTGGCATCTCCTGCACGCATGCTAGATTCCTCCTCCTCTTCCTTTCTCTCCTCAGAAGTCCCACCTGTACCTCCTGCCTAGCTGTTGACCATTCAGCTTTTTGTTATACCGATCACTGCAATTATATCTTCACACAGTGTACAAATATCCCACAGCACACTTCTGGGTCTCTGTTCTTCAACTGTAAAATTCGGATAATGATACCTTCCTTGTTTCTTCCACGGATCCCTCAAAGATTAGTTAGTGCTGTCTACCTCATCTCCCAGGGGGCACTGAGACGTGTGTACCCTGTGACAGTGTCCCAGAGGCTGCAGAAGTACTCACCATCCTGGTTAATCCTTATGGCTGTTTGTTTGCACAGAACCCTTAGTGGACATTGACTCTTCGTTCCTGAGCAGGCAGAACTTTTAACAGAGCGCCCCACCTTCCCACCGAAACTGCCATTCCCAGCTCCAAGAAATGCCTAGCTATTTCCTCTTCCATTTTCACTACCTTAAGACCAAAGTCAACCCTTGTTTTTCTCTCAGTGTTGTTTTTCTAGCCCTGGAGCTGGTTTCATGGGCTAAGTTCTGTTTCTCTTCTTAGATGGCCATGAAATGCCCTTTAGATCACTCTTTTGATAATTCCCAGATAGGCAAAGAATTTACTGGCCTCTTTCAGCAACTCTGACTCTAGTGTTCTTGTTTCCCAGGGCTTCCTCTCTTCCAGGGAATAGCAGAGCATTTATCTTGGTAGGTGAACAGTATTTTTTGTTTTGAGACACTGTAGTTCAAGAACTGGTCTCAGATCCAAGGCAATTCTCCTGCCTCATCCTACTGAGTGCTGGGATTATTCATGTGAACCAACCATGCTGCCCAGCTTGAAAGATCACTTGACAAGATGACCAAGCCCTGGGGCCTGGAATACTGGGTGAAGGCCTTTTAGTCTCCACCAAGACAGCAGTTCACAGAGGACATGCGTGACAAAGATGTCTTCTTGTCCTATCAAAGGATTTCACATAGCATGTAGGAAAGGAAGGAAAAGAAAGATATCTGTAAGAGCTGACCCCTTTGGTCTGCCTCTTCTTAGCCTGATATTTACATTTGAATTTACATTTGAACTTGATGTTGAGGGACTGTTTCCCCCCTTGGTTTTATTTCTGTGTATATCTCTAAAGGAAGATGTGTTTGAAAGAAAATGTGTTTCTTTTTATTTATTTTAAATTTATTCATTTTACATGCCAACCATAGTTCCCCTCCCTCCCCTCCTGCTGATCTCCCCTGCCTCCCCCCCAACACACAGAGAATGTGTTTCTATCTATGGCTTTTTTAAATTTGTAACAGGGTCTCACTTATAGCTTGGGCTAGCCTAGAATTTGCTACATAGACCAGGTTGACCTCAAACTCAGCGATATCTGCCAGCTTCTGCCTCTTGAATGCTGGGATTGAAGATGTGTGCTACCATCCTGGCCATTCTGATTTTAAAAATAAAACAAACATTTATTTTAGTTTTTATTTGGGCTTTTTTGTTTTGTTTTGGGTTTTTTGTTTGTTTTATTTATTTTTTGGTGGGATTTTTAAAATTTTTATAATTTTGTCCAGGCTGACCTCAAACTCAAAATTCTGCCTCAGGGGCTGAAGAGATGGCTCAGATGTTCTTCTCAGGTCTTCTAGAAGACCTGAATTAAATTCCCAGCAACCACATAGTGGCTCACAGCCATCTGTAACTCTAGTTTCAAGGGATTTGATACCTTCTTCTGAACTCTGTAGGCACCAGGCATGCATGTGGTCACAGGCTTACATACAGGCAAAACATTCATACATATTAAATATACACACACACATACATACATACATACATACACACATACATACATATACACATACACACACACACATACACACATCCTAAATACTTCACACTGCATATTTTCAGTTTGAAAAGTAACATCAGACTTTACACCTGAGAGGAATAGAGGGTTGAATTGTGAATATTCCTTTCTTCCCCTTTAATTCATAACTATCTATATTCCTGGCCCTGACTGAAAATTGGATTTTGGGGAGCAGGCATAGTGTTACATACCTGTAATCTTAGCACTCTGCTTTAGAAAGTAGACACCGTTGGTTTTGTGCAGTTTCAAGGAGAGTCTAGTCTAATAGTCTACACACCTGAGTTCCAGGCTGGTTAACTAATTGTATTGCACAACCTCATCTCAAAAGAAAATACATTTGAATTTTGACTTAGAAGTGAATGCCTTAGAACTGAATTGAGGTTGAATCTAGCTCATTTTGGAAAGTAAAACAGAACTTTACACTTTGACAAAAATTATTTACCAGACGGTGGTGCATGTCTTTAATCCCAGCACTCAAGAGGCAGAGACAGGCGGATCTCTATGAGTTCCAGGCCAGCCTTTTCTACAGAGCAAGTTCCAGGACAGCCCAGGCTACACAGAGAAGCCCTGTCTCAAGAAACAAAACAAAACAAGAAAGACAAATGTGTTTTAAAGATTTATGTTATTATTTTATGTGTAGGAGTGTTTTGCCTGCACGTGTGTGCTCCACATCCATACCTAGTGCCCTCAGAGATCAGAGGAGGGCTTCGGATTGCAAGCCCCATGTGGGTGCTGGGACCTGAACCCAGGTCTTCTGCAAGAGCAGTATGTGTTCTCAATCACTGAGGCCAACTCTCCAGCCCGGACTTCACACTTTTTATCTGGCTAGTTCCAAACCACCAAAGAGAGGTGGTCTCCTGGAACACTGTCAAGCCCACATGCTGAGGCGAGCTCTCCGGCTCTGCCTTTCCCTCTGGATCTAGCTAGTGTCTGCTTCTTCCTCAGGCATTGAGTGGGGAGCTGGGAAGGGCATGAGGAGGGAGCTTCCAAAGGGACTTCATTTCGGGGTAGACACAAGTGAAGCCAGTTTAGAAAGACATGTGTCAGGGCTGCCACACTCTCCTCCACCCTGCCCCATGTGCACGGCCCAGGAGCCCCCTTCCGTGCTTGCTGCTGCCTCTGTCTGAGAGGACTCCAACCCTGAGCGTGCAGAAGTGGATTAGTGAAAAGAACACTAGATTAAGCGTCAGGAGACAGCTTTCAAGATCCAATTTTACCCATCAGTAGCTGAGGAATTTAGAGAAAGCCACTTAACCCCACAGTCTCTTCATCTCTTGATCAGTAAAGTGGAGAGAAATTCCTCTCCCTGAATTCTACAAGGTGTTTCTGAGGGTCATATGACACCACAGAGAGGGAGGCCTCTGGAATATAGTGCTGAGATTTTGCACGTAGTGTTCTCTCAGAAACCATGGCTAGACAACTGTGACTGTTTCATGGGTTCGTTTCATGTCCTCCAACGGGTGGGGCTGTCGCGTCCATGTAGAAATCAGCTTCCAGGGGCTGTTGTCTCCACTCATAAATGTTTTATTTGGTTTTAAGCCAGGGTCTCACTATAAAGCCCAGGTTAGCCTTGAACTCCTGATCCTCCTGCCTCAGCTTCCCAAATGGTGGGGTTCCAAGTAGGGGTCACTATACCCAGCCCATAGTTACAAATGTGTCCAAAAGAATTTACACTTTGGCTCACTTTTGAAGCTTTGTAGTGGGTAGATGACCTCTGAGCAGAGCATGTTTCCAGTCCTATCTTCCTAGCCAATTCTAAGAGCCTGTCACCTTAGCTAGAACCTGTGTATCCATACAGAGAGAGGGAGCATCCTGAGATATGGCACTTGCTCCAGCAGTCACTACTCCGTGACCTCACATAGCTCATTTGCTTCTCTGAGACTTGTTTTCCTCTGCCGAAAATACCAGGATGTTATCTGACCCCGTAAGAATTTTCTAGGGAATAAACGAGACTTGTAAGTTCCCGGTGAATACGTGTCAGTTCTCTGCCCTTTACCCTACTCTAGGAAGAATTGTTACTGGACACACCTGCCTAGAGATCGTGGAGATCTTAGAGACATTTAGAACCAGATCAGAGATAAGACCCTAGTGAGAATCGTTGCTGGATGACATACCCCATCTCAAAGAGGGCCCTGCAAATGCCATCTGTCCTGACCTCACTGAGTCTTTGTGCCTTGTGCAGGGAACATCATCGGCTCTGGGATCTTTGTCTCACCGAAGGGTGTGCTGGAGAACGCTGGCTCTGTGGGCCTTGCTCTCATCGTCTGGATCGTGACAGGTGTCATCACAGCTGTGGGAGCCCTCTGCTATGCTGAGCTGGGTGTCACCATCCCTAAATCTGGAGGTGATTACTCCTATGTCAAAGACATCTTCGGAGGACTTGCTGGGTGAGCAAATCTGAAGGCCTGAATGGTCTAGCATGGATGTCCAACCTTTTGACATACCAATATGACGTCATGTAACGATGTATTTATGCCACGCCCATAGCTATCCTGGGAAACGTGGCCCATGGGCCGCAGGTTGGTACCACTGGTAGAGGAAAAGGAGAAATCTGGGAAAACGGAGTTCAGATCAAAAGAGGCTAAGGACAGGAGTTTATAGTGTCGAGTGTGTTGCCTGTCATGGAGCCAGTAGATGAGCCACATTGAGCTTGATGGGCAAGATTCTATAAACAGCCGGGCGGTGGTGGCGCACGCCTTTAATCCCAGCACTCGGGAGGCAGAGGCAGGCGGATCTCTGTAGTTCGAGGCCAGGTTGGACCGACAGCCTCCAAAACAATACAGAGAAACCCTGTCTCGTAAAACCAAAAAAAAAAAAAAGATTCTATAAACAAAGTGATGACAACACTGGCCACAGTGTTGTAGAAAAGCAATCACAAAAAGAATGCCCTGTGCCGTGACACACGAGGGTGACTTCCTCAGCTAGAACACGTGTACCCAGTCAGGACATCCAGGGATGAAGCATCCCCCTCCTCACATTGCCAAGGATAATGTCCGCCTTCCAGAGTCAAGTCCTGGTCTTACATTTTCTTGGCTTCTCTAACCCTGACTGAGGAACTCATCCATCACCAAAGGGCCAAAACGTGTGCATGCAAGGCGCTTCCCCTGCAAATTCCTACTTGATGCCTCCCGGGCAGGCGCGTGTGTAGCCACACCTGTAGGGCGTTCCTGCTATCAGGATTCTGGGGTTGCACATTTAATTTTTCAACCCTTGGATGTAGAGGGCTAACGTTGCAGAGAGGATTAAAGGAGAAAGGAGAAAGCCCAGACACCAGGATGTGTATCAGCGCTAGCTGAAACGTATGCAGGTCTTTGCTGTCACACCGTGTCAGCGGGATTACAAAGGGTCTCATTTGAGGTGGGCAGGAGCTAGCCTCTTCAGTGTGTCTGGAAGCAAAAGGGGAAATGTTCCTTTAACCCACTGACATCTGCTCGTTTGCTCAAGACGTCCCCCAGCCCTGCCCCTTGCCTGAATTTTCTGCTGGTGACGCTGGCTCCCTGCCATGGCAGCCAATGACGTTCCTGTTCCTCTTTCAGGTTCCTGAGGCTATGGATCGCTGTGCTGGTGATCTACCCCACCAACCAAGCTGTCATCGCCCTCACCTTCTCCAACTATGTGTTGCAGCCACTCTTCCCTACCTGCTTCCCCCCAGAGCCCGGCCTGCGACTCCTGGCCGCCATCTGCTTGTGTAAGTGGCATCTGGCCCTCACTTCAGTCTCTTTCAGTCTTCACATCACGGTTTCTCTTTCCTTTCTCACCCCCCCACTACTTTCCATCCCATATGAATGTGTTTTGGATGAGTGGACTCTCCATAGAGTTACCTCGTGTTGCATAGAAAGCCAAGTATGGTGGCGCATGCCTGTAATCCCAGAACTTGGAAGGCAAAGGTAGGAGGACATTGAGCTGAATACCAGCCTTGGCTACCTCGTGAAAGCCTATCACAAACAAAGAGTAGAAATAACTTCTATCATCACAAACAAGGAGTAGAAATAACTCCTTGGAGACTCAGCAGCTTTTGGCGCCAGGATGTTTCACATTAGCGCTTTCACCTCTGCTGTCTGATTTCTGATTGGAGCCTCATGACCAATCCGTGAGGTAAGCTGGGACATATTATCATTTTCCCAGGATAGATCAGGAGACCAGGAGCCAGGCAAGGGACTTTTTAGGAGGTAGACCCCGTGTGGAGTCCCGGGCTTTTGAGTCCTTGGCCTTCCAGCACAGTGGTGCTGGCTTCTTTGGCTGCTGAGAAGATCCTGATAGCCTCACAGCAGACAGTTGTAACAATTTAGAAACTGCCAGCTCACACACATTGTGAACCGTGCGTTAGAGGAGAATTTATCCCTTGTCCAAGCTCTGGATGGGTTTTGTTGTTGTTGTTGTTGTTGTTTTGAGACAGGGTTTCTCTGTGTAGCCGTGGCTGGCCTCGAATTCACAGGGATCCGCCTTCTTCTGCCTCCTGAGTGCCAGGAGTAAAGGTGTGCACCACCGTGCCTGCCTTGAGTGAGTTGTTTTGTTTCGTTGGTTATGTGGAGGAAAAGCCTTGTAGCCGGGTTAGGATTTAATTGGCTGCATTGAAAACTCAGGATGGGAAGATGCCTGCAAGCAAGGTGGATTCAGCAGACCCTCGGGAGAAGGGTTTTGTGGAGCCGATTAGTAGGCGTTCCCAGCTCTAGGCTCTGATGGCAGTGACCTCGGTGGGCTGGGATACTTCACTCCAACACTGATCCTCAAGCCACTGCCTGTCTGTTTCAGAGGCTGCACTCAGAGGGTTGACTTGGGGGATGTCTTCCCTACACAGCTTCTAACAGTGCAGGGGCTGGCCCTGCTGCTTATTTCCAGGTCCAGCCATCGTCCTTCTGTCTTCTTGTTGGTGTGATGGGGAGGGGGAGCCACTACTATAGAGATGAGCAGCCAGGACAGGCATCTGAGACCTGGCCTGACATAGACCCTACCTAGGCAAGGTGAAGTGTGAGGCCAAATCCCTTGTTTGGGGGCACTGGTCACATGTTTGGTCTAGGAGAGCACGCCCCAAATTCAGGCTTCCAGCCCCCTCAGCTCTATTACTCCACACATTCTGATTGCTTGGCCAAGTTGCTGTCTGCCTCCTCGTGAGATCGGATCATAAATTGTCACCAACCCTGTGCGTTCATCGGGAGGGCGTCCGTTGGGGGCAGGGATCTTTCTGTGCCTCAGGTCAGCCTGAAGGGGAGTTGGGCACATGGGTGTTAGGGTTACTAAGACTTGCTTCACAGCTGGACCTGGAGCTGGGGCAGTGTGGGGAAAGTTGCAGTTCCTGCCGGCCGACAAGCTAACAAGGGAGGAAGGAGGAAGCACATGAGTGCCAATTGCTGCTGTGTCGGTGTCTTGTGCACACGGGCAGCTTCCTCCTTTCTGCTGATGCTACTAAAGTCTCAGACAAGAGGGCTCCTCTGACCTACTACTAGAAATCCAGAGCTCCCTCCCCTAGGAGAAGAGCCAGGCCACAGTATGCAGTTCTTTACCACAGACCTGCCATGGGTTGCCGCTTTCCACAATGACTCTGGAGTTGTGAGGTCTCTGTACACACACGGGCGCACACACACACACACACACACACACACACACACACACACACACACACACACACACACACACAGCCCAGTCCACAACGGTCCCAGCCCTTCCGGATGGTGAGATGAGCTCTTCTCTAGCCTGCTCCAGAGATGCAGGCTGCATGCAGTGCATCCCACACCTACCCTCTCTGGACACGGCCCAGACAAGTCAAGGAGAACTGGAGACACTTGCTGTCTCCCTTTCCTGCTGTCAAAAATCTAATAAAGTCTGCCCCTCCTCTGCCTTCTGAGTGGAGATGCAAGGAAATTGCCTCCAAATGAAAGGAGCTAATCTTGTCCTCTGGGAATAGTAATTTTTCACTATCCTTGAGACATGGGTCTAGATATTATTCCAGCAGAAAAATCTTAAACCCAAATTATTTTCCCCTCCCACTTCTGTTAGAGGACCAGTGGAGGTGGAGGACAGGCCCCAGATGTTTGGAGCCTATGTACAGAGTTTCTGTTTTCTGGTTTGTTGAATGTCGTTCTGTTTCAGAAGATTGGGGGGGGGTGTCTCACTGTGCAGCCCAAGTTAGCTTTGACTTTGCTGAGTAGACCAGGCTGACCTCAAACTTGTGGCAGTCTTCCTGCCTCAGCCCCTAGTACTTTATTAAAAACCCACCTTGTAGCCTTCTTCAAATAGTCTCTCAGGGTAGCCTGTGTTGAAAATGACTTGTTGATGCCAGACTTCACAATGCCGGCATCTTTGGGGCAAGGCAGCTTTTGAGACAAGATTTTGCTATGTAGCATATAGCCCAGGTTGACCTGAAACTCTAGATCAGGCTACCCTGAAATACACTGTATTGACCAGGCTGACCTCAAAACCTTGAATTTTGTGCCTTTCCCCTTGTCACATCTGACCAAGTCTACTCTCTGACCTGTGGCAGGACTCTACCATGTGACCCAAGCCACCCTCGAACTTACTATGTAGCCTAGCTTTGAACATGTCGTTCTCCTGCCTCAGGTTCCTGAAGGTTGAGTTGCCCATGGGTGGGGGTGCCATAGAGCCCTGCTATGACATCTTTAATTCCAGTTCTCCTTTCCACCACCACAGCCACAGGCGTCTAGTGTAGCCCATCCCTCTTAGCAGGTGCTGGGTAAGCCAGCTATGTGAATTAGCCTCAGTGTACTTTGGATATGGAGGCAGGAAGTCACCCAGCTTCAACATACTTTCGAGAGAAGCAGCAGAAAGTATCTTATCAGGATTTCTATTGCAGAGATGAAATACCATAACCAAAAACCAAGTTGCAGAGAAAAGGGTTTAATAACCTTACACTTCATCATGGCTGTCAGGGCAAGATCCTGGAGGCAGGAGCTGATGCAGAGGCCATGGAGGGAGGCTGCTTACTGGCTTGCTCCCCATGGCTTGCTTAACCTGCTTTCTTATAGAACCCAGGACCACCAGCCCAGGGATGGCACCAGGCACCATGGGCTGGGTCCTCCCCCACTGAGACCTAAATGAGAAAATGCCTCACAGCTGCATCTCATGGTGGCATTTCCTCAGCTGAAGCTCCTTCCTCTGATGACTCTAGCTTGTGTCACGTTAACTCACAAAGCCAACCAGTACAGAGCTTGGGGGAGAGACGACATTTACGCAGGAAACTTTGCTTTTCTATGTCTCGTTGGATGATGATCGACTGGACCTACTGAGTCATAAGAGGTTTTAAAAAAGGCCACTGGTCTGTAATTCAGGGTCCAGCAAGGAGAGTGGGTGTGGCAAAGCCTGGGGCTAGTGTTTGCTGGGAGAAGAAGAGGCCAGGCCTAGCGCTATGGTGGGATCTTTTTTTTGGGGGGGGGTGAGCTATCTGAAGAGAAATGGAGTTGGGACAGGCCAGATGGGGGAGGAGAGGCAGAGAGAACCTGATGTAACTGGCTTGCCTGCCCCGAGCCTGGAGGGGTGGGGGAAGAGGACGAGAGGAAAAGAAGGAACTGCAGACTTGGACCTGCTTGTGCAACCACCGCAGCGCAGTGTGTTATTCCATTATTTAGGTCAAAGCTGATTACTCGCTGCTGAGTCAGCAGAATATCCCTGGTCACCAGGCAGTAATAAAAGAAAGCATTTTACATTTTAATTTGATGAAAAGCCTTTCTCTCTGGTCTCCAGAGCAAGCATATCAGTGCGAGTTGGGGTGGAAGAGGAGCCTGGGAAGTGTTGAGACTTGGTTTTCACGTGCCTGCTCCTGTGATTTCTTTCTTTTGATTTTCTGAAAGCAAATGACTGTGCTCTTTAGTAGAACACTGAAATAAAGTGTCTAAGTGATGCACCTCACCTTTGGCCTGCCCCTGCGCCGTGCTTATGGTAATGGTGGGCAAATACCCTAACGGTTCTAATGCAGCTATTGAGGTATAAGTGAGGTATGTAGATGTAGGTGTTGGCTGCTGGACAAAATTAAAAAGATTTCGTTTGGAGACTTTTTGTTTTGTTTGTTTGAGACATCTCTGGCTGGTCTAGGACTCAAGCAATTCTGCCTTCAAGACTTCCAAATACCTACTGGTGCATACTACCATGCCCAACTTAAAAGATCCCAATTAAGTTTGATCTTTCTTCTATACTCAGGAAAAAATTCTTTCCACAAAACAGAGTATTTGGGGGTCTGGAGAGATGGCTCAGCAGTTGAGAGCACTTGCTGCTCTTGGAGAGGACCAGAGTTCACTTCCCAACAATCACGTAATTTTGGTGATTCACAACCATCTGTAACTCTAGTTCCAGGGGATCAAACATCCTCTTCTGGCCTCCTGGAACCCTCGTGCACATGAACATAAAAACATGCAACACATACACGCATAAGCATTTTTTTTAACTCTGGAAAAGAAAAGAGTAAAATTTCTAATGTCCTAGCAAATAAGGTTTTATAGACAGAGAAGGGCTTGAAGAAAGCAGAAACAAAAGCTGAAAAATCAAATCAGTAATTTCACAGCTACTGTCCTTGTAAATTAAGGCAAAGGAGACGTGGTAACAGGAGAGCAGCTGATTAGCTAACATCAAGTCATTTCAGATTATTTCTTTGTATTGGGCTAGAGCAGAGGGAATTTGTCATACTGATTGAATGTGACATCTTTGGAAATTGTGGCTGTCATCTCTCTAATCCTGAGCTCC